CCCTTTGGACTCAACAAGCCTGTTAAATCATGTCCGCCAAAAAGCAGATGTGACTTAACATTGGAAAAGTTAATTAATTATGCTCTAAGACTCTGCCTCTCTTCCTACAGTGTGGGATGTATTGCTTCTCCCACATTGGGCCTCAGCACTTCCCAGCCAGGGGTGTCACCCTGTGCTACCTCATGCTCGCTCCATTATGGCATCGCTCCTTATGGAGGAGAGGGAGAAAGCTCCCTAGCCCAGTGGTCCCAAGAATGGTGGTCCCAGCACTCCCTAGCCTGTTGGTCCTAATTGTGGTAATCCCAGCACTCCCTAGCCTGTTGGTGTCAATGCTCCCTATAGGTACCAGCACTCCCTTGCCCAGTGGTCCCAATTCAGATGGTCTCAGCACTTTCTAGCCCAGTGGTCCAAAGTCCTGTGGTCCCAGCACTCCCTAGCCCAGTGGTCCCAAGAATGGTGGTCCCAGCACTCCCCAGCCTGTTGGTCCTAATTGTGGTAATCCCAGCACTCCCTAGCCTGTTGGTGTCAATGCTCCCTATAGGTACCAGCACTCCCTTACCCAGTGGTCCCAATTCAGATGGTCTCAGCACTTTCTAGCCTAGTGGTCCAAAGTCCTGTGGTCCCAGTGCTCCCTAGCCAGGTGGTCCCAAGCCTGATAGTCCCAGCCCCCTAACTCTTGTGGAACCAGTGCTACCTTGCCTGGTGGTCCTAGCCCAGTGTTTGTAAGCATATTTTTTTCCCAGCACACCCAAGTCCAGTGGTACCAACACTTCCTTGCCCAGTGGTCCCAATTCAGATGGTTCCAGCACTTTCTAGCCCAGTGGTTCCGGTCCCAATGCTCCCTAGCCTTGTGGTCCCAAGCCTGATGGTCCTAGCCCCCTAACTCCAGTGGAACCAGTGCTACCTAGCCTGGTGGCCCTAGCTCTTCCTAGCCAAGTGTTCTTAAGCATATTAGTCTCAGCACACCCAAGTCCAGTGGTCCCAGCACTCCCTAGACCAGTGGTCCCAATCAGGTGGCCCTAGCACTCACTAGTCCAGTGTTTGTAGGCATATTTTTCCCAGCACACCCAAGTCTAGTGGTACCAGCACTCCCTTGCCCAGTGGTCCCAATTCAGATGGTTCCAGCACTTTCTAGCCCAGTGGTTCCGGTCCCAATGCTCCCTAGCCTTGTGGTCCCAAGCCTGATGGTCCCAGCCCCTAACTCCAGTGGAACCAGTGCTACCTACCCTGGTGGCCCTAGCACTCCCTAGCCAAGTGTTCTTAAGCATATTAGTCTCAGCACACCCTAGACCAGTGGTCCCAATCAGGTGGTCCTAGCACTCACTAGCCCAGTGTTTGTAGGCAAATTTTTCCCAGCACACCCAAGTCTAGTGGTACCAGCACTCCCTTGCCCAGTGGTCCCAATTCAGATCGTCCCAGCACTTTCTAGCCCAGTGGTCCTGGTCCCAATGTTCCCTAGCCTTGTGGTCCCAAGCCTGATGGTCCCAGCCGCTTAACTCCAGTAGAACCAGTGCTACCTAGCCTGGTAGTTCTAGCACTCCCTAGCCCAGTGGCGACATAGGTCTCAAGCCCTGCAAACTTTGCTTCAGTGGTCCCAGAGTTTCGAAGTCTGGCAGTCCCTTCTTCAGTCCCAAAGACCCCACACCTGGTGGCCCCTGCTCCAGTGGTCCCAAAAGTGCTACCCCTGTCCTTACTGTTTCCTGTGGTGGCTACTATCATTTTGTTTGTCTGAGAACTGCACGCAGAACTCATTTCAGTGCTGGAGCCACACATCCACTGCACTGTCTGTTCTGCCATGACCAGGAATGCAGTCTCTAAGTTCCCTGTGTTCCCTACCTGTATTGCTATAGCTAGGAGTAACTGTCCCTGAGTTTCGTGAGTTCCCCTATTTTGCCATGAAGGTTTTCTCCGAGTTCACCCTTAAGTGGTCTTCAGCTACACCATGGCCTTCAGTTTTCCCTTCCTGCACCAGCTCGGTTTTCTGCTTTGTCGGCTCTGCCTTGGCCTCCTGATTGCCTGTAGTCTTCTAATCCGCCATGGTACTCATTTCTGCCGATTCCATCTTCGCAGGCTTCACCATGGAAAGCGAAAAACAGTGTGCAGAGTATATCCAGTAGTCATGAAACAGATGGCAAAATGTAACCGGTACTACTTCTGTCGAGATTCTGAGGTGCAGCTGATTGACACTTTACTATCCCATGAGGTCATGAAGCGACGAACTGGCACAGGTACAGTACGTCACATGACAATGACAACATGTATGTCCAGATTTCATTCATACTACACATTCATACTAGAACATTCTTTTTTTTTACAGTCACAAAGTAATTATTCAAAACAAGAGAGTATGCCATTTCAAACACGGCAAAAGACTATGAACTTGATGATTAAATAAAATGTTTATGATTAAACTTCAAAATAAAAGATAATCTTTTATCTTAACAAAATCTATACAGACAAGACAACAGCGCATGGTATTCTACGCCACATTGTAAATAAAGTCAACCTTAATATCAACAAATGAACAATTAGTTCACATATAGTCAATGTTATTTATTGTAAATACTGCTGATTACACCTCATTGTCATAATCTGTTTATGTCATATGAAACGGTTTGTCTTTTAAGTGAAATCTATTTATCTGAATTTGATGCATATGTATTTTTTTCTGTTTATTTATGCTTCAGTTGTACTCCTATGCTCATTTGTCATGTTGCATGACTTTTTTAGAGTTATGATTCAGTGAAGCTGAAACAACCAAGCTGTCCCACCCCATTACACTCCTTTTACTGTGCGTCATGGCTGAGAAGAGGCTTTATAGAAATACAAGAAAAAAAGGAACAATGAATACCTGAGATGCTGCAGATGTTTTGATGAGAGGTTATTTGGTAACTATACTATAACTATTACTATTAATGAACATGGATTTTATAAAGTTCAAGAGTTGACCTGAATTGATGTGTCACACACAGTGGATTTGATTTGAACAACTGACTCCCTATTTCCCCATATATAAGGCCCAAAATATTTCCATCAATAACTTTTATTTTTAGCTATGGATACAATATTCATAAGCAGTGTTGGGTAAGTTACTCTAAAAAAGTAATTAATTACTAGTTACTAATTACTAGGGCTGGGTATTGTTAGGTATTTCACAATTCGATTCGATTTCAATTCTTGAGGCTTCGATTCGATTCGATTTCGATTCGATTCAATATTGACTTATTAACTTCGATATCGATTCAATAATAAGTAAATACACAAGTAATTAAGTGCCTGAGTATATTTTTTAAGTAATGTGCGCAGTTTTACCAATGTTAAAGAACAAATTGACCCCAGCATGTTTGTTTCCTGTCATGGTTTATTCAGCAGAATAAAAATGTACAATATTGTATGTGTTGAATTCAAACACAACTGTGACAAGCACTGTACAGTGCTTTAACAACACCTCTAAAGTAGTAGAAAGTATATTTCTTTCTTCCTATACATACAAGTTATAAAAGAAATGTAAACAGAAGCACAAAATGTGCATACTCAAAAAAGTGCAATATTATATTCTAATTATAATTTTGTAAACAATAACACTTAATAGCTGATCACACTTAACAGCAATTGCGAGTTATCAGGCCAATTCTAAGGGGGAAAAAATACTAACCCTTTTCCCTCTCAGAAGTTTATATCTCATAGACTTTATATCATGCATTTCTGACTATATCACGCAATTCTGACTTTATATCATGCATTTCTGACTTTATAACACCCAATTGCGACTTTATATCACGCAATTGTGACTTTATATCTCGCAATTCTGACTTTATATCTTGCAATTCTGAGAAATAAAGTCAGAATTGCGAGAGGTAAACTCCCAATTGTGAGAAAAAAAAGTCAGAATTGTGAGATAAAAAGTCGCAATTACCTTTTTTATTTTCCATTCTGTGGCGGAAACAAGCTTCCATAGTTCCCGGCTTACAGTGGAATCCAAAATGAGCCCAAAAGTCGGCTTTTAATGTTGGCGGTGCAGGCTTGAATCAGGATTGAACGGAGTGCTGCTGCTGTCCGTCATCGCGCTGTTTTGCTAAGGGCTAAAGCGCGACTTGTACAACGCAGAACGCTCTCACTAGAGTGTAGCCCACAGCGCCGCCACTGGCCTGGATGGCTGAATCGATTCATAGGATTTGATGAATCGATATTGAATTGAGAAGCAAAAAATTGCAATGCATTGATGAATCGATATTTTTACCCAGCCCTACTAATTACCTCTTCAACAGTGTAATTAGATTACTGTACTAATTACTCTGTCTAAAAAGTATTTATTTACTTTTAATTACTAATTACTTTCAAAATCCCATATCAATCTCAACCAGCTGAATAATACAAGGACATGAATCTGTTTTAAGTCTTTTAAATAAATACTATAAAATTGCATGAATTATCCTTAAACTGACCAAGGTGGAGAAGGTTACATCATAAAAACATACTTTTTAATATCAGACAAGACATTTTGATGTTAAACCCACGATTTTTTGGTGTCTGATCTCATGACATTTCACACTTTTTTCATACATATTTTACAATAATTCATACGAATTTGTACGGGTCGTACGATTTAGACTCATAAAATGCATACGAATCGCTGTGAGATCGGATTGATCTATACACAGTATTTACCTCAATTACATCAGAAGTAACTGTAATTAAATTACAGATAAATGAAGAGTAATCCCTTACTTTACATTTTCAAGGGAAAAGTAATTAAATTACAGTAACTAATTACTTAGTAATTAGTTACACCCAACACTGTTCATAAGTAGGCTATGTGGTGAAACTTTTGTGCACAGTCAATCAGTGTAGTGTGGTTTAACCTAATTTGAATTATAATACAATTCTAAAAAATGATATAAAATAAAAGTAGGCTAACTTGTCATATATAGTATGCATTGATAGGGGGACAAAGGGCTCCAGGAGATTTCAGCAGCAGGAGGTGACGTCAGCAGAGCGCTTTTCCCCTTGTTGACTCAATAACAAGAAAGAAGGAAAGAAAGAAACTGACCTGAGTGAAATGCTTTAAATGTCACTTCGCTCAACACCAATACGACGTAAACAGCTCGGGCGGTGTGCGATCTTGGTTCATCATCAGCCTGCTCTGCGAATTTCTTTGTCTTCTGGCTTGCGAAGTTATATGGAAAACCCGTTTAAGTCGAATTCCCGAGGATTTCTGTTCCACAACGGATCCTATGACTTTTGTTCTGGTTTTTAAGCGCAAACATGTTCGTTTTTACAAAGAACAGAATAAATATGAGTGATTTGGTGAACCCGGAGTATCAGGGCTGTGTTGACGGATCTCTGATGGACGGATTCAGTGTTTTTATTCAGGGTCTGTTGGCTGTTCTGGCTTTCAGCACTTTAATGTGTAAGTTGTCTCCGCATTTTAAACTGTTTCCCTGTGATTTGATGGCGTTTTCTATCATTTTCTTTTAAGGATATGATGCAGCTTGTGGTTGGTTGGTTTGTTTGTTTGTTTATAATTCTGTTGTATTATATTGCGGTAGCCTACTATGGAAAATGTTGTGTGAAGTGGTAGCCTACTTAGACCATTTTTGTCATGTACATTGTAAAATGAATAACTTAATCTTTGACTTTTAAAATGACGCTCGTTGATGTTAACAAAACAAAAAATAAGTGTTTAATCCTCGAGGGAAACCTCATGACATGTAATCAATAGCGCTGCACGTTACCGACACAAATAAACAAAATAGCCTATTAACTGCATGGACACCCTAACATAAACTTGGGGTGTGAGAAATGCATTTGCCTTAATCTTAATACCATATTTCAGTTCTTTTCTCATAGCCTACATCATCATTTTCAACATGACTCATGTCTGTGCTGTCAGGATGATAGTGACCAGCATCTAATATTTCAGTCACCTGGCAACAAATTGGATGGAACAGTGATGGAAAAGGTGCAAATATTTGAATGAATTAACTATAGTTAATGAATACTTGAAAACTATAAATATTTAATAATAAAAAAGTATTTTTATATCTATTGAATTTTGAATAGCTATATTCTATAAAATATCACATACTATTTCATAAAATGTAGTTGCTAGCGCATCTAATAATCCAAAATAAATAATTGCCTTGACTTTGTCACTCAAGGTAAACTTGAATAAGGCTATACATTTTATTTCTGGAATGTAGGACATTCAATGAGAAGATATTAGAGTTGATTTTATCAAACTGAAAAATTGATTGAATCATGAACAAACCAGAGTTTGCATAAACAAAGCTTAAAGATCTGTTCGAATATTGATTGATGGTATCCAGAACTTAAGAGACATCAGCAGAAAAGGAGGAAGATTAGGACTAAGTTGAACCACCTTCTTTTTTATGGAAATAACATTCACCAATCATTCATTCAAAATAAGACCAGAAATGTGAATTAAAGGTGTGTTCACATTAGAGAAATTTTCTAGGCAAAAACAAAACAAAACAAAGGATCTGTTGTCTATTGACAATAGTTCAGCGAATCACAGCTCACACAGATGACACTTTTAAACCGAGCAGCTTTCAACTTCAGCTTGAACCTGTGGTCAAATATTTCACACATCATTCCCGACGTCTATTTGATGTGTGTGTTTACATCAGGAAGATGTATTTTAGAGTGTTTGCTCATCAATACTTCTAGAACGTTTCCTGTCAGATGTCAAATAGACGTTTAGAAGATGTCTTTAAGATGTAATGATTTAGAATGTATATTAAACTGTGTCTATCAGATAAACAGCAAATGCTTTCTAGATGAAGTGATCTTTAACAGACATCTCGCAGATGTACGTGTGCTATCTGTATCTGTAAATGACAGGATTTCGTCATGAGCATTCGGCAAACAACAGTCAATGAACGCACCTTAAAGAAAGCAGCCTTTCACTTTCCACACACACACACACAAATCTGTTCTTCTGAGGGTACAAGCTTTATTCAAAGATGAGATTCCTCAGCTGTGTGATAGCACATGATAACAGCCCTCACTCCTGTAGCTCATGTGATGCCCCGAACCCAAACTCGCGCTATGTTACCATTTCAGCTGGAAGGTCCGAGTCACGTGACCTGCCTTACAAGTTTGAACCCTAAGTTGTTTCTTTCCCAATATTTAACTTTGTCATATGCTCATTCAGTCCAAAGATACAGTAGCCTATAGTGTTTTCTTGGTTAATATTTGGTAATTGTGAGCTGATATAACTCAAGCTGGTATTAATCAGTGAAAGTGGTGGTTGTAAACAAAGCCTTTTTGCTAAGGATGTTATTTAGCCTACAAAGGTGCTAATTTGTGGCGATGCTCTTTAGCGTGTAACTTGTCATGACATGATAATTCAATGCGGCTTGTTGAGGAGATTTGGGATTTATACCTGCTGGATGATTTTTTAAAAAAAAGGAAATTTACAGTGTATTCAGAGACGGCTAAATAATAAAGATTATCAGCAACATAGCTTACTAAATGAATGAATGTTTTCTAATTATACTTCCCAAAAGCAGTTTATTTGTTTTGTGGTCAAGCCCTGAATAAGCCCCCAAAACACGGTAAGTGACCATTGAGTTACTCATTAATGAATCGGTTCTGTCCTTGTTTATTATTAAACTTTTTGCTGCGTACAGAGAAAAAATCCCCTAATCATGAGTTGTATTTGTTTGTTTATTGAATACCGAAGTTAAGTTTTATTCATGTTTTCAGGAAAGGCTGAGAGAAAAACAAAGGCCCGTGCAAACTCTTGGCCCGTGCTTATGCTTGTGTTTTTACTGTATGTATGCACTTCCTCTTTGTTATTCTGGGAGGTGGGCACTTCCTCGCTTATTTTCTTTTTCTTTTTTTTTTTTTTTTTTCGGTGGTTGAGGCTGCTTATCTTTGCTGACGTCATCGCTGTTAGTTTCCTCAGACGTTCAATAATGCTGCTTCTGTTTGGCTGTTGATTACAGACCAACCGTTTGCATTTGTGGAAACATCCCTTAGATATGTCTTTCAGCTTCGGGTCGGGTGTGTAGGAGACAGAGTGTGCGTTAAACACAATAACCCTCTCCCTTGAAGGTCATTTAGTTACTATTTTTGTGTCTGTTTAGTTCATATGTATGCTAGACTATTACAAAGCAGCGATGGAGTTAGCCTCAAACAGAACTTTATCCTGAGTTCATTCAAGTGTCGGCATTATTTCCATTTTTGATATTCAAATGAGCATAATTGATTGATTTTTGAAGAATCATGTGATTCTGAAAAGTCAAGTTATGCTATATTTATTAAACCATATTAAGAGTGAAACTCGCATGGTTGTTTATACCGTAAAGGGGTCATGAACTGACTTTTTAAATTTGATTATATTGTTGTCTGAGGTCAACTTATGACGTTCGCTTGCTTTTTGCATTCAAAAACATCAAAATGAATGAGTAATAGCTGAAAAACGCTCGGTTTTTATGGGCGTCTCGCACTGAAGACGTAAGTGGAAGTAAACGCCCACTGCTGTGAGTGGATAACAGTTTTGCATATTATAATGAGTTTCGACTCACCCGTCGATCCACTTGGGGGAAATTGTTTTGAAAACGTCCAATGTTGTAAAATGGCAACCGGAATGATTCGCCCATACATGTTCGATCTAGAGTCGGTGTGTTGCACAATTCTTGTCAGATCCAATATAGACGGCACAGCACCGTTCCGGTCTGCAAATCCAGTCTTGTTTACAAAACAATCTTCAGTGAAATGAAGCGAACAGATGACGATGTTTTACCTCATCAGCTGGAACGTAATTAAAAATAAAGTTTATCCATGCAGTCCTATTGGAATCCAGAGGAAGCGTATGCAGCGACTGTCTTCTTTGCACAATATTCTGTATTGCTCGGTAGCTCGATCCGGATTGTCATTACGAGGTAGGCATCTATGTTATTTAGCTATGCGTGTAATGCGTGAATCGGTGGGCGGGGCTAAACCGGCCGTGTTGAAGTTAGGCGTTGATCTTCTTCTGCGGGGGTGGTGTTTTATCCTCTTTGACGTCATAGTTCCCCACTTTGAAAAATGAGTCGTTTGCTGAGGCTGGTGTCAATAAAAGCTTTTATTGGACTAACAAGGACGTTTTCAGTTCTGAAACTTACAGGATATTCTTATCATATGATGACCTCTTAGATGTCAAAAGCTCAAGGAAAATTTGATTTCTCAGTTCATCACCCCTTTAAACATTATTCATGCTAACAATATCTTTGTCTTCACAGTGAAGAGGTTTCGTGAACCTGTTGGAATTAGAAGACCTTGGAGGATCTGGTAATTAAAATGAAATATTAGTAAAGAATTATGGGTCCCACTTTATATTAAGTGGCTTTAAGTACTATGTACTTACATTGAAGTTACTACTTTGATACATTGGACTTATTGTGTACATACATGTTTTTACATTGTACTTATATTATAATTACAACTGTAATTAATTGATGTAATCACATCCTTACACCTTAACCACACCTGTCCCTAACCTTACCCATATCACACCTCAATAGCAGCAAAAGTGTTTTACAATACAACCTGAACACAATAAGTACATTGTACTTATTTTCCTATGTAAGTACATAGTACTTAAAGCCACTTAATATAAAGTGGGACCGAATTATGATTATAATAGCACAAAACAGCACACTCTCATTTTTTCGTTTTGCCTGCAGGATCTTTGATACGTCTAAGCAAGCCATCGGTGCTCTTTTCATGCATTTTGCCAACATATTCCTGTCCACACTCACCAATGAAGATCCCTGCTCTCTGTGAGTCAGTTATTACTTGTTTGTCAAGTTTTATTGCTTTAGCCTGCAATTATACTAACCGTATTACCCTTTTCTGTTTTACAGGTATCTATTGAACTTCCTGTTGGATGCCACATTGGGAATGCTGGTGATCTGGGTGGGGGTGAAGGTTGTTTCCAAGATAGTGGAACATAAACACCTAACACTGCTAATGTTCGGAGAATATGGTGAGTTACATTAATGGAAGCTTAAAGAAAGTTCTTTACTGGTGTCTATGGTTCCTTTCCCCTTCAGGGTCTTTATAGTGGAACAAGGTTCTTTAGATTTTCAAAATGCCCTTCACTCTAGAAAAAAATGGCCCTTTAGAGAACTGTTTGCTTAAAGGGATTGTTCACTTTGAAATTAATTTTTGATATGTTTTAGGTTACTTCAAGGGCATCCAAGATGTAGGTGTCTTTGTTTCCACAGTATTTTTTAATTTTGATATTTTTAGGTCAAACCGTTCTTGTCTGTCAGTCATATAATGCAGGTCTATGGTCACCACCTCAAAGAGCATGCACAGAGAAGTCCAAATTAAACATGATTTAATGACTCGTGAATGTAAGTACACATTGATGGCCTAAGACACGAAACGAACGGTTTGTGTGAGAAAACGAAAGGAAATCGCCAACAGACAACATTGATTTTTTTTCACAACCATATTTAGATCACTTCCGGTGCTTTCCGGATTAAATCATGTTTAATTTAGACTTCTCTGTGCATGCTATTTGAGGTGGTGACCATAGACCTCCATTATATGACTGACAGACAAGAACGGTTTGACCTAAAAATATGAAATTACTGTGGAAACAAAGACACCTACATCTTGGATGCCCTTGAGGTAAGCTAAAACATATCAAAAATGAATTTCAAAAGGGAACAATCTATTTAAAGGTCCCCTGACATGGGGTTATTTTATTATTTTATATGGGAAACCAATTGCTGCAGGAAAAACAACAACATTTGTAACCTTTTTTTGTGTGTGAGTGTTTTGGTTGAACTGAAGTTTAAAGGAGTCTGTTTAAAGATCAAGTCTGCTGTCATAAGATTTAAAAAACAAAAGAGAAACTATCATGCATCAGTTTGTTTTAGTCTCATGTCACCACCAGAGAGCGCTGTATGTTATATTTTTCAAATGTGTTTGGGTAGTTTCCCCACACTTGCTTTTTTCCCTCTCTGGGATTTCCTTGGCAAAAAACACCATAGAAAATGAAAATTACACACACACACACGCACGTAAAGCAGATGGAATAAGTGCATCGTTTCACATAATTTTGGCCAAACAATTGTTCATGAATGCTTTTCTGCTTAGGTCAGCTTTTGAATCCCTGTTTTGCCATTTTATATTTACCAGAACATTTGGAAGCTGACCACTTAAAAGGGCTTACATACTAAAATAAATTAAATTAATAAATTAATTCAATTAAAAATACCAACATTGTTACATTCATTAATGTTAAATACAAATTATTTCAAATAATGTTTTATGGAAGAAAAGAGTGCCTTATAAATAATATTAATTTCATTAAAAGCATCAACATATTTGCCAATCTATATATTTAAATTATAATTTTTCAATTATAAAATTATATACATATATAGCCTATATACTGTATATATTATATGTTAATGTATATTGAGTGTTAATTAAATGCAGATCGGGATCTTCTACATTTGCATGTTTTTTTTGTTGTTGTTTTTTACATCCCTGTGTTCTCATATACTGTATTCGTTTCATACATGCTTTGTTGTTGTTTTATTTCTTGATATTTTTGTCTTGTGTTGTTATTTGATGTCTTTAGTTTGATGTGCTTTTGCTATTGATGCCTTAGCAAATACATAGCAATGTTGTCCATTTTTGCAAAGACAAGCACTTTAGAAACTTAAATAAATCCTAATTGGCTTGATTGTCTCTTTCTCTGTTTTAGGGGATCCTCCTCGGGTAGCGGCCTGGTTGTCTCAGTGCTCGGTGTATTTACTCATCGTTGCTCTGGAGAAAAGTGTGGTCACTCTGGTGCTGCTCGTTCCCGGGTGGACCAATGTAAGATAAACATTCACACACTCAGAGTTTCCGTTATTGTTACACAGACTCACACATTAATACCAGGATGGACGTACTAAAATCTGTTTTTGTTTTATTTTGTTATATATACAGTAGTATCAAATGTTTGCTATTTTTAATGTATTTGATAAAAGTCTCTTATGCTTATCAAGCTTACATTTATTAGAACAAAAATACAGAAAACTGTAATATTGTGAAATATTATTACAGTTTAAAATAATGTTTTTCTATTTTAATATACTTTAAAATATTATTTTTTTTCTGTAATGCAAAGCTAAATTTTCAGCATTATTACTCCAGTCTTCAGTGTCACATGAACCTTCAGAAATCATTCTAAAATTAATTATTATCAATATTGGAAACAGTCGTGCTGCTTAATATTTATTTTTTCATTGATGGATAGTTGGTTGGAACAATGTAAATCTGTACTATCACTTTTTATCGGTTTAACACATCCTTGCTGAATAAAATTATTAGTTTCTTTTAAAAAAAAGTAAAATAAAATAAAAAAATACAGACCAAAAACCTTTGAACGAACGGTAGTGTATATTGTTACAAAATATTTCCATTTTAAATAAATGCTGTTCTTTTTAAAACTTTTTATACATCAATGAATTCTAAAAAAAAGTTCCACAGGTTATAAAAAAATATTAAGGAACATGACTGTTTCCAACATTTATAATAATTCAGCATATTAGAATAATTTCTGAAGGTTCATGCGACACTAAAGACTGGAATAATGATGCTAAAAACTCAGCTTTGTATCACAGAAATAAATATTATTTTAAAGTATATTCAAATAGACAACCATTATTTTAAATTGTAATAATATTTCACAATATTACTGTTTTTTTTCTGTATTTTTATCAAATAAATGCAGCTTTGATGAGCATTAGAGACGTCTTTCAAAAATATTAAAAATAGTAATGTTTCCAAACTATATTTCTCAATGCGTTTGACAAACAGAAATGGTTTAGATATATTCCTATGGCATTCGTAAGCTTGACCATCGAACGTTTTCAGTGCTTGTGGTTTTCCTGCTAAGACAGAACACGAGGTTTAACACCCCTGCAATAAAACAATAAAACTCACTAATCTGAAGAGGAGATCTCAAAGAAAGCGCAAAGGCCTTGCCCAAACTTCTCTCCTCACGCATCTATGCATACCCCTCTTCCCACTCCGTCACCTTTCGCCCTGAATCGGGTCACTCAAAGTTCACCAAGAATGTCTACATAACACATATTATGCGTCTTGTGACACTATTGTTTTATCCCTTTCACCTTTGGTTTCATTTTAAATGTCTCAGTGGCCCAATGAAGGAGCACCATCTGGGACCTTTTGATCACTGACTTAGAAAGCTGTATAAGCGTGACTATGAAAATGACACTTTTTTTGTGTGAGCGTGCGTATAGTCGCTTTATGGAAATAGTTAACCCTGAACCCTCTGACTAAGATAAGAACTGGCGAGTTTGTGTCCGTGAGAGCGAGCCCCGACTGGCTTGGGACTGATATACGACATTGGGTCGAAATTGAAAGTATTGGATACCCAGAATAGTCAAATATGTAAATGTAGTACGTAGTTCCTAATTAGAAACACAGTCTAAATGTAATAATCATTTTGATTATTGTTTGTTTATGAATGAAAGCAAATAGACAAATTATAAAAGTGCTTACCACATGTGTTTGTGTGTGTTGTAGCTGGAGGAGGTGGTGCTGGACTACATCCCAAACCCACAGCTGGAGTTAGCCATCGTCATGCTGATTGTGCCTTTCATTGTGAATGTGAGTCATTCAGGAATAATGCATGATATCTGTCCATCCATCCATCCATCCATCCATTCACTTATCCATCCGTCTATACACCCATCCATCCAGTTATCCATCCACCCACCCACCAAACCATCCATCCATCCACTTATCCACTCACCCACCCATCCACTTATCCACCCATACATCCATCCACTTATCCACCCACCCATCCATCACTTTTCCACTCACCCACCCATCCATCCACTTATCCACTCACCCATACATCCACTTATCCACCCATACATCCATCCACCCACCCATCCATCCATCCACTTTTCCACTCACCCATCCATCCACTTACATCCATCCACTTATCCACCCACCCATCCATCCACTTTTCCACTCACCCATCCATCCACTTATCCACCCATACATCCATCCATCCATCCACCCATCCATCAACTTATCCACCCATCCACCCATCCATCCACTTATCCACCCACCCATCCATCCACTTATCCACCCATACACCCATCCATCCACTTATCCACCTACCCACCCACCCATCCATCCATCCATCCACCCATCCATCCATTTATCCACCCATCCGTCCACTTATCCTCCCACCCACCCATTCATTCATCCATCCATCGACCCATCCATCCATCCATCCATCCATCCATCCATCCACTTATCCATTCGTCTATACACCCATCCATCCATCCATCCATCCGTCCACTTATCCACCCATCCATCCATCCATCCATTCATCCATCCATCCATCCATCCACTTATCCATCTATCTTTCCACTCATCCATTAATCCACCCACTTATCCATCTATCTTTCCACTCATTTATCCATCATAATGCAACTTAAGTATATGTAAATGTATGTGTTTCAGTCTATAATGTTCTGGGTGGTGGACAGTTTAACAATGCGGAAATATAAGAAGATGACATCTCTGGAAGGCTCACATGACTGTCCAAAGCAAGTAGAGGTGTTGCCACATGAAAGCAATGATGAAGCTGAGGTGAGAATATTCATATGACGTCTCAATAAATGCACATAAAACAAAAAAGCGTCTGATTCACAAATAATTGTGTGGATACTTTGTATTTATAAGCACAGGACAATGCTCACAATAGCATGCTGTACAAAATAGTTGGAATTTATGTTTTTTAATGATAGATTCAACCTGGATACTGTACATTACACCAATAATAAGACTAAGATCGGGTATAAATAGTTCTTTAAGGTTACAAATTCACACTGTCATCCCTCGTGGACGACTGCCGCTTAAACTATAACAAAACAACAGCATAAATTCCCAGTCCTGGTCCTCTCTTGTCTTTCACTGTTGTCACTCCTCCTTTTATCCTTCTAAGCTCCTCCATTACTTTGCTTCCACCAAAAAAAGAACTGGTTCGGAACTGGTGCTGGTTCAAAGTTGCGAACCTTCTCAGAACCTGTTTGTTTTCCCACTGACTAGAGAGCCCAGTGAACGACGTTGTTACGTCACTGTGTACGTCGCCATACATCTTAGCCCGACTTAAGCATGATGTGGTAAAAGAACGGTTCTAGTCCAGCAAAGAGTTGGTGCCTCTTTGGAAATTTTCCTGGCTGAGGACCGATTCTTTGGCTGTCGAAACACAAAGAACTGGTTCGTGATAGGCACTGTCTCCGAACCGGCTCTCAAAATGCTTTGGTGGAAAAGGGGTACATGAAACTCGAAGCTGAGGCTCAGTAGCACTCGCGCCACCGGCCTCGATCCTTTCCCGCTGCTCATGGCCCCACCCTGCTTGCCTCACAGGGCTTCAACCCACAACCTATTTTTTAACATGTTTTTAGTCACTAAATTACACAAACATATTTTGAAGATATTATTTAATTTAATTGAAAAAGCTGTCATTATAACATCACACATGTGCATTTTTTTTTATGCTGGATTTAGCCATCTCTATGGAGATCCAGGAAAAAATGAGTCAGTAAAAATTCCTTATGACCTTGTTCCCCATATCTGTCCCTCTGGACATTTCATCCAAGTTAAGTTTAACTCAGTGGATCTCAGCTGGATTGTCTTTGGTCTGTTTTGACTGGGTTGCATAAAACAGGAAAAAACAAAGCTAAATGCAAATATTAAAATGTAACCATTGTAGTGAACTTTTTCTTCCAAAGTGGAGAAAAACCAGAAGCACAGACCAGGAGACGTTGAGGTATCTTTCACGCAGAAGTTCCTAATTGCTTCGCTGTAGTCATCTCAAAAATCGTCTAACTAAAATTAAAATTCAGAACTGTTCTTATACAGTATGTTTCAAGGGGGGAGGAATTACATAGAGGAGGGGACTCTTGAAACAAAGCAAATGTAAATGCAAGATTCAGCTGGTTACAGGAATTTCCTCAGCCCTGATCTCATCAGCATAGCAGATATTCGAAGCCTTGAGATGCTAATCCAATCAGCCTGACTAGATTGGTCAAACCTTTACATTATCATTGAGACAAAGGGTGGGCGTCTCAGTAGCCATTAAGAGTTTCAGCAATCTGAAAGCAGGATTAGCCAGATATCATCCCCCTTTTCACCTTGAATGCTAAATTCAATGTACAGAAAACTTTCTCAGTTTATATTGGAATCTTAATTAAACATTTAATACATTTGTAGTCCTTCACCATCCATATAACACAATAAACCGATTTACTTACTTTTAAAAGGGAGGAGAGTCGCATCTTAGATTATTGACCTGAAAGAGCATGCGGTCAATCAAATCCTATGGTATTTTTGTGCAAACTCATCATGGATTGGTAAAAACTGTCCAAATTAGTCTATGTTTACACAGAAACGAAAAAGTGGCGTTGCGTTATCACTTTTTATTCTGCATTTAGACGAGCATTATGGGTGGGACATGCGCGTGCATATGTTGATGCAAAAGTGTGTGAAATTCAATGTAGTGTGAACTCCAGGCGGCTAGGTGGCAATGTGGAGCACTGCCACACAACAACACCAAGTCCACGCGCCTGCGTACAACCTTCACTGTCTAGCAGACTTCGCGTTTTTACCCTTTACACGGGAACGCGGCGGTGGAGCGTTTTTAAGATTTCCACTCTGGAGGGTGGTTTCTCTCCTTTTCTCTCCGATAAAATATTTTTACGTTTTCACCCACGAACGTTCTCGTGTAAACAGGGCCTTAATGTAGTCATTTTGTATATTATTTTTTTTAATGATTTTTGTCATCGGTCTAAGGCCCTGTTTACACGAGAACGCTCGCGGGTGAAAGCGTAAAAATATTTTATGGGATGTGACGGCCTTTTTGGGGCTTAAAAACGCAAAAAAGTGAAACCACCCTCTAGAGTGGAAATACTAAAAACGCTCTACCGCCGTGTTCCTGTTTAAAGGGTAAAAACGCAAAAATCTGCAAGACATTGAAGGTTTTACGCAGGCACACGGACTTGGTGTTGTTGTGTGGCAGTGCTCCACATCGCCACCTAGCCGCCTAGAGTGCATACTACATCAAATTTCACACACTTTTGCGTCACCGTATGCACGCAGATTTCCGACCCATAACGCTCGTCTAAACGCAGAATAAAAAGTGATAACGCCACTTTTACGTTTTCTCTTCAGATCTTTTCCGTGTAAAGATAGCCTAGATTTATAACATAGCCTAAAGCATATTGGGCGTTGGTCACCACTATAAAATCTGTCCTGAAGCTTTTGAGAACAACAGGACTAAGTTTTGTTTGTTTTTTTGTATTAGTTTGGCTTTATTCTTGCATATCATTTAAAGTGAAGTCGCTCAATTGAAATGAATGTTTTGTTTCTAGGGCTGTATATGAATAGTTTGATTGTGTGTTTGTGTATTGTATTCTTCTCCTTGAATGGTGGGATTGTGCTATATGAATGTGATTTACAGGACAACTTTTCTTTCTTTTTTTTTGCCTTTTGACCAAAGACCTTTCCAAAGGCCGCTGGCCTCTAGGGTCAAATTATCTCCATTTGTTGAGCAATATGGGGTCTTTCCAATCTTTTTTACTTTGTTTTTCTCCTCTCTTTTCTTTTTTTCTCATCCCCTTTTCCTTCACTCCTCCAGTACTGGTAGAGTGCCAGCTGCTCACAAATCATTCATTTGTTCAGCGATAGCAGTGACATTTAGAACATGTTTCCATAAGCTCATGCTATGGAGAATGAATCCAAATCTGTGGAAAAGTATGTTTGATGAGTGCCAATATGAACGAAAATGTATAAAACTGGTCTACTGTCAATCTTCTGCTGTATGCTTATGGTTTTATAGTCAGTAGATTTATGCAATACCTATAAAATGATCCAACTCACATAAACGGGAAAACAATCATTTGTAAGATCTGGCCAGGCTGTTCGGTTGACCTTAAACTGTGTTTATATGTTTGTGTAGGTGCTGCTAAAGGAAGATGAAGATGATAATACAGTATGTTCTGAAGAGGAAGAACACAAGTCAACAGAAGAAGCATTAATACGAGTCTGTATGGAAGTTTAAAAAACACAAAGTATACCTATCAACATGTAAAATACCCTATAACTTTGTTCCTAAACCTAGAGAGCTGCCTTGGTGTTTACTAGCTACCTTTTGAGGCAGATTCCTAATTAAAATGGAATCCAGTTGACTGATTTAGAACCTTCTAATAGGTAGAAACTCCACAATAGAACTGTTCACGCGAAGTATACTGGAGACTGAACTCAAATGATTCCAATAAAGTGAGGTGTTAGCATTGCGCTAATTAAGCTAGCAACACAATACTCAATACTTGACACAAGACTAAGAACACATAAAATGTTGAGTAAAATTCAACATTATTTACAAAATATTTACGGTCAACATTTCATTTATCATTTTGTATATTAAGAGCTTTTCATAAGAAGTACACTTAGAAAAGTATTACAGTTGATCCCATTACAATGTAACGTTAGCGTGTTGCTAAGCTAACAACACAATGCTTTAATAAGTATAAAAACTCCTTTAGTTTTAGTTAGATTTAAATTGGTGTTGTTGAATGAAATATAAGTATATACCGTCCACATTTCTCTCAGATAATTTGCCATCTTAAACATAAATTAAAAAAATAAAAGTGTTTTGGGCACACACCTATGATAACTTAACCCAGCAAATAGAGAGTGTTCTTCTAACGTTAGTGTATGGTGCCCAATTGGTTTAGATAATTAATAGCATATGAGTTATTAAAGGGTAACATTATCCTCCCTTCACGTCCTTTAAAGTTCATACTTCTAAGTTAATTAAAAGTAAAGAAACAGACAGATGAGAGGTCTAGTGTTTCTCCTGATTACAGACATTCAGACTTTTAATTTGAAGTGGAAAAAGCTCATGTCACTCTACCTGTGATGAACAACACCTCACTTTCCAGCTCTTGACACACATGCTAGAATATTTCAAATCTGCAAGGCTCACCCAAAGAAAAAAAGTTCTCTTGAAAACATTTGTAATAAGACCAGGCGATCTTTGTGTTTTAACCCTGTAAAGTTTAAACAATGTACAGTGTAATTTTTTTTTAAAATTGTGTTTTTGTACTTTTACGCATGCATTAGTCATGCATTAGTTCTGATTATCAATTTTGTACAAAATAATGATGTACAGACTAGTAACTGTAAATATTCAGCTGTTAAATTATATTGATTCTGATGTCAATATGCACATGCAGTCAAGTCGTTATTACGAGCTTGAAACTAAGTTGTGAAATGCTAAAAAAAATACTGCTTCTAAAAAAAAAAAAAAACCTAGTACAAAATTTCTAGCAGATGGATGTCACAAAGTAGATTAACGATTTTTTAAAGGAAGATTTGTGGGGTTTTTATGTACTAAATGTTTATTTACAAAAAATAAGGCATTTAATGTCATTCTATTTTGCTTAAGTCATCCTGTGGGGTCAGTGATGGGTAATTTTGAGGTTTGCACATAACTTTTTTGTATTGTGTGCGGGTGCATTTGCACATTTTATCATAATCATTAAGTTAGGATCACGTCTCCAGAGCACTTTTAAGAGCACCTGCCAACAAAGTCCTGTGTGACAAAGGGGCTCTAAGAGTTAAGCAAACTTAGGTTTAAGAACACCTGGAAGGGGTGTGTCCAACAACCATTTGACCCCAGTCTGATGACAGGGGCGAAACAGGTCATACTCAACCAAAAATTTGAAAAAAGGTTTCTCAGCTATTAAGGCTAGTGTGGTTTGTTTAACATTTCTTTCTAATAGATTGGCACAACTGCCCACTTTTTATGTAGTCATGGTTCTGGAAGTATACATCCTATTAGTTTTCAATGACTATTTTATTTTTCAGTGCTACTTTATTTTCAAATTACTAATATTAGCTGATAACCAGTATGGTACCAATATGTAGTGCATCCCAAATAATGAGTATTTTTTTACGTTACTTTATTACTTAATTTTTTTCTTTCACCAAATAAAATTTAATAGCCAAAAAAAAAAGTATCCATCCATCGCTCGTCGGTCTGTACACTGGAGTTATATTGCTGTGATTACCTCTTTAAATACAGTGTTGTCTCTGATTGGTGGATCTCATTTAAGGATTATGGGTAGTGTAGTACTTCAAAGACTATTCAACGATAAAATGCTTTGTTATATGACGTTAAAAATTAGAAACATATTTCATAATCTCAGAGGTAGTTTTTTCTTGTCTGTAAAAATCACTTCTGCAACCTATCTCTTCTAGTCTATTGTTAACATTTAATTTATTAGTATAAAATTAAGTTCCAAAAACTTTATTATATTAACTAAAAATATACAGTATATATTTGTAGATGACTACAATAAAAATAGTGAAGTAGTATGTCCACACATCATCACTGAATATAAATCATGCTTTTGGATCTTTGTGATGGTTTTTAAAGTGTTTGTGTAAGTATCTTCCTATCATAGTCTCTCTCTCTCTCTCTCTGTGTGAGTGTGTGTCTCAGTGTGTGTTGGTTCCATTAACCCAGTCTCCTATGTCAAACAGATGCGACACAACATAATCTGCGTATTGTCCATCGATCAGTTTGGCCGCATTGTTTTTGGCAAACCAGCAGTCTACGGTCTGCTTTCCAGAGTAGATTCGCCTGCTCTTCTTTATGACGGCGACAGTACGATCCTTTACCTTTAGTGCGGGGTAACTGTGTAAAGTGATATTTTCCCCTTGTGTTTCCCGTGTGATGTTTTCTCCGGCCATGCTGAAATTTCCAGGAAGCTGTGTCAATCCAATCTCTTCATACAGGAACTGGCCTGTAAGTACAGAAACATGTCTCTCTTTTAGTATGTATACAATCTGTTCCAAAACCTAGTGACACAAATCCTAATTTTGTAGGATCACAACACTTCTGATCGCAAGGTTTCCTATTGAAATGACTGGATTTCGGAGAGCAACGGTAAATGTGAGTGCAAGGCAGCAACACGTGTATCCTTTGTGTAAAAAGCCAAACCAGAATTCACTGCTGCAAACTCAATGAGAAAGTTAATCTAAGATGGCCGACAAAGTGAGAGAAATGCGGCCTATAAATGAAGTATATTTATACGCCACATTTGTCTCACTTTGTCGGCCATCTTGGATTACGTTTTTTTAAATTCATTACTAAAAAGTAGCAACAAAAAAAGGTTGACTCATTCCAATTGACTATTTTATTTGGTATACTATGCAGAGATGTATAAAGTACTAGAAACCCGGACTTGAGTAAAAGTACAAGTGCTCTGTCAAAAAAGTGACTTGAGTAAAAGTTGAAGTGCTCTTTAAGCACCACACTTAAGTAGAAGTACTAAAGTATTTAACATTTTTGTACTTAAGTATTGCAAGTAGTTTATTTTAAAATTCACTACTTAATAGGGTGTCACGATTTCGATATTAAATCGAAATCGATCGAAATTAATTCAATGGTATCGAAATCGAAATAAAAAAATGGTATCGTCAATACTGCCACGCCCCATGTCGCGTCCGTGATGGAAAGTTCGGATCGTTTTACTGACTCTATTGTTCAATCTCGTTCATCAAAATTAACTAAATTTTTTCTAGTCATTTCAGGGGCTTTAAATGTTATACTATTAAGTTATGTTACTTGTTTTTGTTATATTTTAAATTTAGCAATGGTGTAGTGTACATTGTGAACAAATTTATATTGCATAATGCATAAATGTGTAGTCTAAAAATTGCATAGCAATCTGCGCTTTACATTTTTTTTAAATCGAAAATCGAATCGAATCGTGACCTTAGAATCGATAACTTAATCGAATCGAGGATTTGGAGAATCGTGACACCCCTACTACTTAAGTACTAAAAGTAAAAGTACAAGTATTGTGTCATGTAATTATTAAAGAAAGCAGTCAAAAATTTGAACTAGCAATCAAATAAGGCGCTTTGGCGGGATACAAATTTACTTTTTGCCGCCTAAATTTGCCGCCAAAAAAATTTCACTGCAGGACAACCCCTGCATTAGTTGTCAATGTGTGTGTCAATCAATACCATTACCCTATAAAACTGGCGTGTGATTTAGGCAGCATGAAAGCCAACTTGCAACGAATGATTCGTAAAGTTTTTATAATTGTAATGAGTAACTAGCAGAACATTAAAAAAATATCGAAGTAAAAGTATTAAATTTATTGAAAATATCTACTGAAGCAAAAGTAGAAGTATGAGAAAAAACAATACTCTAGTAGAGTACAGATACAGCATTTTAGTACTTGTTAGCTATCACATTGTTAGCTTAGCAACATGCTAACATCAAAGTGTAATGGAATCAATAATGCAACAGAAGTCCTAAAACTCCTTCTAAAACCAGTATAACAGCATGGCCAGGCTGAGACACCAGTTAACCACCTTGCCTAGGCAAAAAGATAGCTCACTAAGTTTGACAACAATGTGTATGTGTGCTTACCTAACAATCCGTGTGTATCCTTGCTCAATCCTTTGCTGTTAGCGATGTAAAATCCCAGGTGATCTCGCTGATAGGGCGCTGGATTTTTGTAATGGTGGAATAAGATGACAAATTGGATATTTCCTTGGATGGTTACAGTCAGGTTTGTGTTCGCAATGAGGACCACAGCCAGGTTGGTGCTTTCAACTGAAATACTGGAGCTGGATGGTAGGATCATTCGGTCACGGTCGTCCAGTATGACTTTTTGTGGGGTCACCTCAATGTAGGAGCGCCTCGGCTTATTGGCTACAATAGTTATGCTGTTGAAATATGTCCTCTGTTCTTTATGACTGCCGGCTGGGGCAGGAGCACCAATCAGCGCACCGTTCACAGTCACGCCTATATTGGAGACAAAATATGTACATTTTTATGGTTTTATAAATTGAACACGTAATACACGTGCGCATGATGTCACCATTTTCGCAAATTCTCGTCGCATTTTAAAACTCGCCTTCAAAAGTTTGCTTTTCAGGCTCCCAAAAGCTATTTTCGTGCAAATGAATGGCCAAAATGCATAAAAATATTAAGTTTTATGTTGAAAACAGTGTAACATGTCCCCTGAATCTTTATAAAATATTGATTTTGGTATAAATGAACAACAAATCAAACCACAGTGATATATGGCGCACTGAAGTAATTAAGCAAAATTAAATCATTGAATTGGGTATTGTCATTGTACTGAAGCCAAATAAAATTATTATTATTTCTACCCTAGCTAATTTGATTTATTTTATAAAAATATGGGTTACACCATTTTTAAACAATAACTATAATTATTACACATGAATAAAAATATTATACATATAAAATATAAATTACATTTATAATATTCATTATTTTTATTATAACTATAGATATTAAATATTGAATATTTATTTGGCCAAGAATTGGCAATAATGCAAAGCTCACTTCAACAAATACTTGCAATACTTGTATAGTTTTGTTGTTTACCTGAGTGTTTATGGTCAGTCACCAGTCGCAGGATGTGTCCTGGCTCCCCATTAATGTTGAAACACACAGTCAGTTTACTTTGAGGAATCTCCACCACAAAATGAGGGTCACCATCAGCTAAAGACAGATAAGATGATGATGTAGGAGGGTCACCGTGATTTTGCCAAGTAAGACATGTTGTTGGATCCTGGAACAACATTCCTGTCTGAAAATTTAGTCCTATCCCTAAACCCAACCCTACCCATAAGTTATCCCTAAAATCAGAGAGGAATGATATGTGAATAGCACTAATGTAGAAGAACCTCACCCTGGTTCTAACCCTAATCTCGATATTAAACAATAAACTTGTCCCTCAAATTTAATTGGTTATTGAAATGCTGTTCCAGGATCAACAAAGATGTTTATCCAGGAACATGTCGCATTTGGTGCAATCACCTTCACAGAAAACATTTTGACTTGAAAATGGACCATTTGTAGAACATTGCATAAATATATGATCCCACCCTACCCCATTATTATTGACTTGGAATTGTTGCATGAAAATAAATCAAATTATGCAAGCTCGTTTTGTGCAACCCAAACAACCCCTGTGAATCCTCTCATTTTTAAAAATGCAACATTTTATATGAGATCACAAATCATCCCAGCAGAAAAGTGTCTTTTCAAAGCTTTCAGATTTAACTGGAATGGAGGGCAGTTTTACTCATCATAGTACAAAGAGTGAAGAACGAGTTACACCCTGAAGTTAAATACTTAGGGGTTTGCCTTTTTTCCCATCAGCCCCTCAAACACGGGCATGTGAATTAGAGCCCGTACACAACTCTCAGTAGCAATTAAATGCGCTTTGATGAGGCCACTTTACCTGAACGCAACAAATTACAAGCCGCACAGTTCGAGCGAACAGACTTTCAACTACACTCACACACATTCACACTGAAATGCAAAGCAGATGTAGAAAAAAATGGAGAAATACCGGATGTTTTGGATAAGGTGACAGACTTTTTGGCGGGTTTGCTGACGCCACCTGGAGATAAATGAAAAACAGTGAAATCGTCATGGATTGTTTGAGTCACCTTAATATTTTCAAGACCGATTGTGTAATGGCAATCGTAATGACCCTGAATCTGATCTAAAACAAATGTTTTGCTTGCTGTCCAATTGAAATAAACACACTTGTTGCTTTGGCGACTGCAGAAATCGGCTTGGGCGGTTCATTTCTCTGCGTTAGACTGTTGTCGTCTTCTGACAGCTGATTGGACGACTCGGGAGGGGGCGGAGCCTCTGTGGCCTCCACCTCTGTCTGTGCTAAAGTTCCGTCGGCCAGCACTTGTGGTTTCTCCACTATTATTTGCGTGAGCGGCGTGAGGAAATGATACTTTAACGAAAGATTTGTAGCGTGTTGCGTGTAGTTTTCCCGCTCTCCGCTCGTCTGGCTTCGCAGTCGTCCTTTTAGCCCGTCTTTAACGCTCAGGTATCCCCACAGTCGCTCCACATAACCGTCCGCGTTCGGACCCACCTCTGCTTCCGCTAGCCGCCGTTCGGTTTCCTGTTCTCGCTCGTGTAGCGACACGTCTTTCTCCAGCACGATGCTCTTCTCGCTGTTGCTGGCGGTCACCTGAACGTGCAGCGAGTCTGCGCTGCGATTGGTCAGTTTTCCGGCTACAACGAGCTCAGAGCCGTTGAAGTAGTTTGTGAAAAGGTTCTGGGTGATGTATTCCACAGCATCCTCGGAGTATTCCACCCGGATGTCGGATAACAGCGGAGTGCCAATCTCATCGTAGAAGCTATAGAGAGTTAGTAGATGACAGAAAGGAGAGGGGGAAAGGAATAATAGTGTAAACATGCCATAGTGTTGCTTCAGCTTGTGGGTTAATAAGTCATGTATTCCTTACGTTAAACTTGTTAAGCTTTTTAGAGTGGGGCCCATTGTGTAAAGATTTCTGACTCCTAATGGCATCTCAGTAACTTTTGACCTTTAACCTGGACTTTTGTCACAAAACACCACTCGACATACTGCAAGCAGGGCTTAAAACTAACTTTTAGTTACACTTGTCAATGGCCAGAGACTTAAAAAAAATTTTACCAAGGCCAGTCCCTTAGGCAGTCTATGTGGTAGTGATTCGGCTNGTGAAAGCGTAAAAATATTTTATGGGATGTGACGGCCTTTTTGGGGCTTAAAAACGCAAAAAAGTGAAACCACCCTCTAGAGTGGAAATACTAAAAACGCTCTACCGCCGTGTTCCTGTTTAAAGGGTAAAAACGCAAAAATCTGCAAGACATTGAAGGTTTTACGCAGGCACACGGACTTGGTGTTGTTGTGTGGCAGTGCTCCACATCGCCACCTAGCCGCCTAGAGTGCATACTACATCAAATTTCACACACTTTTGCGTCACCGTATGCACGCAGATTTCCGACCCATAACGCTCGTCTAAACGCAGAATAAAAAGTGATAACGCAACGCCACTTTTACGTTTTCTCTTCAGATCTTTTCCGTGTAAAGATAGCTAGATTTATAACATAGCCTAAAGCATATTGGGGTTGGTCACCACTATAAAATCTGTCCTGAAGCTTTTGAGAACAACAGGACTAAGTTTTGTTTGTTTTTTGTATTAGTTTGGCTTTATTCTTGCATATCATTTAAAGTGAAGTCGCTCAATTGAAATGAATGTTTTTGTTCTAGGGCTGTATATGAATAGTTTGATTGTGTGTTTGTGTATTGTATTCTTCTCCTTGAATGGTGGGATTGTGCTATATGAATGTGATTTACAGGACAACTTTTCTTTCTTTTTTTTTGCCTTTTGACCAAAGACCTTTCCAAAGGCCGCTGGCCTCTAGGGTCAAATTATCTCCATTTGTTGAGCAATATGGGGTCTTTCCAATCTTTTTTACTTTGTTTTTCTCCTCTCTTTTCTTTTTTCTCATCCCCTTTTCCTTCACTCCTCCAGTACTGTAGAGTGCCAGCTGCTCACAAATCATTCATTTGTTCAGCGATAGCAGTGACATTTAGAACATGTTTCCATAAGCTCATGCTATGGAGAATGAATCCAAATCTGTGGAAAAGTATGTTTGATGAGTGCCAATATGAACGAAAATGTATAAAACTGGTCTACTGTCAATCTTCTGCTGTATGCTTATGGTTTATAGTCAGTAGATTTATGCAATACCTATAAAATGATCCAACTCACATAAACGGGAAAACAATCATTTGTAAGATCTGGCCAGGCTGTTCGGTTGACCTTAAACTGTGTTTATATGTTTGTGTAGGTGCTGCTAAAGGAAGATGAAGATGATAATACAGTATGTTCTGAAGAGGAAGAACACAAGTCAACAGAAGAAGCATTAATACGAGTCTGTATGGAAGTTTAAAAAACACAAAGTATACCTATCAACATGTAAAATACCCTATAACTTTGTTCCTAAACCTAGAGAGCTGCCTTGGTGTTACTAGCTACCTTTTGAGGCAGATTCCTAATTAAAATGGAATCCAGTTGACTGATTTAGAACCTTCTAATAGGTAGAAACTCCACAATAGAACTGTTCACGCGAAGTATACTGGAGACTGAACTCAAATGATTCCAATAAAGTGAGGTGTTAGCATTGCGCTAATTAAGCTAGCAACACAATACTCAATACTTGACACAAGACTAAGAACACATAAAATGTTGAGTAAAATTCAACATTATTTACAAAATATTTACGGTCAACATTTCATTTATCATTTTGTATATTAAGAGCTTTTCATAAGAAGTACACTTAGAAAAGTATTACAGTTGATCCCATTACAATGTAACGTTAGCGTGTTGCTAAGCTAACAACACAATGCTTTAATAAGTATAAAAACTCCTTTAGTTTTTAGTTAGATTTAAATTGGTGTTGTTGAATGAAATATAAGTATATACCGTCCACATTTCTCTCAGATAATTTGCCATCTTAAACATAAATTAAAAAAATAAAAGTGTTTTGGGCACACACCTATGATAACTTAACCCAGCAAATAGAGAGTGTTCTTCTAACGTTAGTGTATGGTGCCCAATTGGTTTAGATAATTAATAGCATATGAGTTATTAAAGGGTAACATTATCCTCCCTTCACGTCCTTTAAAGTTCATACTTCTAAGTTAATTAAAAGTAAAGAAACAGACAGATGAGAGAGGAGGTCTAGTGTTTCTCCTGATTACAGACATTCAGACTTTTAATTTGAAGTGGAAAAAGCTCATGTCACTCTACCTGTGATGAACAACACCTCACTTTCCAGCTCTTGACACACATGCTAGAATATTTCAAATCTGCAAGGCTCACCCAAAGAAAAAAAGTTCTCTTGAAAACATTTGTAATAAGACCAGGCGATCTTTGTGTTTTAACCCTGTAAAGTTTAAACAATGTACAGTGTAATTTTTTTTTAAAATTGTGTTTTTGTACTTTTACGCATGCATTAGTCATGCATTAGTTCTGATTATCAATTTTGTACAAAATAATGATGTACAGACTAGTAACTGTAAATATTCAGCTGTTAAATTATATTGATTCTGATGTCAATATGCACATGCAGTCAAGTCGTTATTACGAGCTTGAAACTAAGTTGTGAAATGCTAAAAAAAATACTGCTTCTAAAAAAAAAAAAAAACCTAGTACAAAATTTCTAGCAGATGGATGTCACAAAGTAGATTAACGATTTTTTAAAGGAAGATTTGTGGGGTTTTTATGTACTAAATGTTTATTTACAAAAAAATAAGGCATTTAATGTCATTCTATTTTGCTTAAGTCATCCTGTGGGGTCAGTGATGGGTAATTTTGAGGTTTGCACATAACTTTTTTGTATTGTGTGCGGGTGCATTTGCACATTTTATCATAATCATTAAGTTAGGATCACGTCTCCAGAGCACTTTTAAGAGCACCTGCCAACAAAGTCCTGTGTGACAAAGGGGCTCTAAGAGTTAAGCAAACTTAGGTTTAAGAACACCTGGAAGGGGTGTGTCCAACAACCATTTGACCCCAGTCTGATGACAGGGGCGAAACAGGTCATACTCAACCAAAAATTTGAAAAAAGGTTTCTCAGCTATTAAGGCTAGTGTGGTTTGTTTAACATTTCTTTCTAATAGATTGGCACAACTGCCCACTTTTTATGTAGTCATGGTTCTGGAAGTATACATCCTATTAGTTTTCAATGACTATTTTATTTTTCAGTGCTACTTTATTTTCAAATTACTAATATTAGCTGATAACCAGTATGGTACCAATATGTAGTGCATCCCAAATAATGAGTATTTTTTTTACGTTACTTTATTACTTAATTTTTTTCTTTCACCAAATAAAATTTAATAGCCAAAAAAAAAAGTATCCATCCATCGCTCGTCGGTCTGTACACTGGAGTTATATTGCTGTGATTACCTCTTTAAATACAGTGTTGTCTCTGATTGGTGGATCTCATTTAAGGATTATGGGTAGTGTAGTACTTCAAAGACTATTCAACGATAAAATGCTTTGTTATATGACGTTAAAAATTAGAAACATATTTCATAATCTCAGAGGTAGTTTTTTCTTGTCTGTAAAAATCACTTCTGCAACCTATCTCTTCTAGTCTATTGTTAACATTTAATTTATTAGTATAAAATTAAGTTCCAAAAACTTTATTATATTAACTAAAAATATACAGTATATATTTGTAGATGACTACAATAAAAATAGTGAAGTAGTATGTCCACACATCATCACTGAATATAAATCATGCTTTTGGATCTTTGTGATGGTTTTTAAAGTGTTTGTGTAAGTATCTTCCTATCATAGTCTCTCTCTCTCTCTCTCTGTGTGAGTGTGTGTCTCAGTGTGTGTTGGTTCCATTAACCCAGTCTCCTATGTCAAACAGATGCGACACAACATAATCTGCGTATTGTCCATCGATCAGTTTGGCCGCATTGTTTTTGGCAAACCAGCAGTCTACGGTCTGCTTTCCAGAGTAGATTCGCCTGCTCTTCTTTATGACGGCGACAGTACGATCCTTTACCTTTAGTGCGGGGTAACTGTGTAAAGTGATATTTTCCCCTTGTGTTTCCCGTGTGATGTTTTCTCCGGCCATGCTGAAATTTCCAGGAAGCTGTGTCAATCCAATCTCTTCATACAGGAACTGGCCTGTAAGTACAGAAACATGTCTCTCTTTTAGTATGTATACAATCTGTTCCAAAACCTAGTGACACAAATCCTAATTTTGTAGGATCACAACACTTCTGATCGCAAGGTTTCCTATTGAAATGACTGGATTTCGGAGAGCAACGGTAAATGTGAGTGCAAGGCAGCAACACGTGTATCCTTTGTGTAAAAAGCCAAACCAGAATTCACTGCTGCAAACTCAATGAGAAAGTTAATCTAAGATGGCCGACAAAGTGAGAGAAATGCGGCCTATAAATGAAGTATATTTATACGCCACATTTGTCTCACTTTGTCGGCCATCTTGGATTACGTTTTTTAAATTCATTACTAAAAAGTAGCAACAAAAAAAGGTTGACTCATTCCAATTGACTATTTTATTTGGTATACTATGCAGAGATGTATAAAGTACTAGAAACCCGGACTTGAGTAAAAGTACAAGTGCTCTATCAAAAAAGTGACTTGAGTAGAAGTTGAAGTGCCCTTTAAGCACCACACTTAAGTAGAAGTACTAAAGTATTCAACATTTTTTGTACTTAAGTATTGCAAGTAGTTTATTTTAAAATTCACTACTTAATAGGGGTGTCACGATTTCGATATTAAATCGAAATCGATCGAAATTAATTCAATGGTATCGAAATCGAAATAAAAAAATGGTATCGTCAATACTGCCACGCCCCATGTCGCGTCCGTGATGGAAAGTTCGGATCGTTTTACTGACTCTATTGTTCAATCTCGTTCATCAAAATTAACTAAACTTTTTTTCTAGTCATTTCAGGGGCTTTAAATGTTATACTATTAAGTTATGTTACTTGTTTTTGTTATATTTTAAATTTAGCAATGGTGTAGTGTACATTGTGAACAAATTTATATTGCATAATGCATAAATGTGTAGTCTAAAAATTGCATAGCAATCTGCGCTTTACATTTTTTTTTAAATCGAAAATCGAATCGAATCGTGACCTTAGAATCGATAACTTAATCGAATCGAGGATTTGGAGAATCGTGACACCCCTACTACTTAAGTACTAAAAGTAAAAGTACAAGTATTGTGTCATGTAATTATTAAAGAAAGCAGTCAAAAATTTGAACTAGCAATCAAATAAGGCGCTTTGGCGGGATACAAATTTACTTTTTGCCGCCTAAATTTGCCGCCAAAAAAATTTCACTGCAGGACAACCCCTGCATTAGTTGTCAATGTGTGTGTCAATCAATACCATTACCCTATAAAACTGGCGTGTGATTTAGGCAGCATGAAAGCCAACTTGCAACGAATGATTCGTAAAGTTTTTATAATTGTAATGAGTAACTAGCAGAACATTAAAAAAATATCGAAGTAAAAGTATTAAATTTATTGAAAATATCTACTGAAGCAAAAGTAGAAGTATGAGAAAAAACAATACTCTAGTAGAGTACAGATACAGCATTTTAGTACTTGTTAGCTATCACATTGTTAGCTTAGCAACATGCTAACATCAAAGTGTAATGGAATCAATAATGCAACAGAAGTCCTAAAACTCCTTCTAAAACCAGTATAACAGCATGGCCAGGCTGAGACACCAGTTAACCACCTTGCCTAGGCAGAAAGATAGCTCACTAAGTTTGACAACAATGTGTATGTGTGCTTACCTAACAATCCGTGTGTATCCTTGCTCAATCCTTTGCTGTTAGCGATGTAAAATCCCAGGTGATCTCGCTGATAGGGCGCTGGATTTTTGTAATGGTGGAATAAGATGACAAATTGGATATTTCCTTGGATGGTTACAGTCAGGTTTGTGTTAGCAATGAGGACCACAGCCAGGTTGGTGCTTTCAACTGAAATACTGGAGCTGGATGGTAGGATCATTCGGTCACGGTCGTCCAGTATGACTTTTTGTGGGGTCACCTCAATGTAGGAGCGCCTCGGCTTATTGGCTACAATAGTTATGCTGTTGAAATATGTCCTCTGTTCTTTATGACTGCCGGCTGGGGCAGGAGTACCAATCAGCGCACCGTTCACAGTCACGCCTATATTGGAGACAAAATATGTACATTTTTATGGTTTTATAAATTGAACACGTAATACACGTGCGCATGATGTCACCATTTTCGCAAATTCTCGTCGCATTTTAAAACCCGCCTTCAAAAGTTTGCTTTTCAGGCTCCCAAAAGCTATTTTCGTGCAAATGAATGGCCAAAATGCATAAAAATATTAAGTTTTATGTTGAAAACAGTGTAACATGTCCCCTGAATCTTTATAAAATATTGATTTTGGTATAAATGAACAACAAATCAAACCACAGTGATATATGGCGCACTGAAGTAATTAAGCAAAATTAAATCATTGAATTGGGTATTGTCATTGTACTGAAGCCAAATAAAATTATTATTATTTCTACCCTAGCTAATTTGATTTATTTTATAAAAATATGGGTTACACCATTTTTAAACAATAACTATAATTATTACACATGAATAAAAATATTATACATATAAAATATAAATTACATTTATAATATTCATTATTTTTATTATAACTATAGATATTAAATATTGAATATTTATTTGGCCAAGAATTGGCAATAATGCAAAGCTCACTTCAACAAATACTTGCAATACTTGTATAGTTTTGTTGTTTACCTGAGTGTTTATGGTCAGTCACCAGTCGCAGGATGTGTCCTGGCTCCCCATTAATGTTGAAACACACAGTCAGTTTACTTTGAGGAATCTCCACCACAAAATGAGGGTCACCATCAGCTAAAGACAGATAAGATGATGATGTAGGAGGGTCACCGTGATTTTGCCAAGTAAGACATGTTGTTGGATCCTGGAACAACATTCCTGTCTGAAAATTTAGTCCTATCCCTAAACCCAACCCTACCCATAAGTTATCCCTAAAATCAGAGAGGAATGATATGTGAATAGCACTAATGTAGAAGAACCTCACCCTGGTTCTAACCCTAATCTCGATATAAACAATAAACTTGTCCCTCAAATTTAATTGGTTATTGAAATGCTGTTCCAGGATCAACAAAGATGTTTATCCAGGAACATGTCGCATTTGGTGCAATCACCTTCACAGAAAACATTTTGACTTGAAAATGGACCATTTGTAGAACATTGCATAAATATATGATCCCACCCTGCCCCATTATTATTGACTTGGAATTGTTGCATGAAAATAAATCAAATTATGCAAGCTCGTTTTGTGCAACCCAAACAACCCCTGTGAATCCTCTCATTTTTAAAAATGCAACATTTTATATGAGATCACAAATCATCCCAGCAGAAAAGTGTCTTTTCAAAGCTTTCAGATTTAACTGGAATGGAGGGCAGTTTTACTCATCATAGTACAAAGAGTGAAGAACGAGTTACACCCTGAAGTTAAATACTTAGGGGTTTGCCTTTTTTCCCATCAGCCCCTCAAACACGGGCATGTGAATTAGAGCCCGTACACAACTCTCAGTAGCAATTAAATGCGCTTTGATGAGGCCACTTTACCTGAACGCAACAAATTACAAGCCGCACAGTTCGAGCGAACAGACTTTCAACTACACTCACACACATTCACACTGAAATGCAAAGCAGATGTAGAAAAAAATGGAGAAATACCGGATGTTTTGGATAAGGTGACAGACTTTTTGGCGGGTTTGCTGACGCCACCTGGAGATAAATGAAAAACAGTGAAATCGTCATGGATTGTTTGAGTCACCTTAATATTTTCAAGACCGATTGTGTAATGGCAATCGTAATGACCCTGAATCTGATCTAAAACAAATGTTTTGCTTGCTGTCCAATTGAAATAAACACACTTGTTGCTTTGGCGACTGCAGAAATCGGCTTGGGCGGTTCATTTCTCTGCGTTAGACTGTTGTCGTCTTCTGACAGCTGATTGGACGACTCGGGAGGGGGCGGAGCCTCTGTGGCCTCCACCTCTGTCTGTGCTAAAGTTCCGTCGGCCAGCACTTGTGGTTTCTCCACTATTATTTGCGTGAGCGGCGTGAGGAAATGATACTTTAACGAAAGATTTGTAGCGTGTTGCGTGTAGTTTTCCCGCTCTCCGCTCGTCTGGCTTCGCAGTCGTCCTTTTAGCCCGTCTTTAACGCTCAGGTATCCCCACAGTCGCTCCACATAACCGTCCGCGTTCGGACCCACCTCTGCTTCCGCTAGCCGCCGTTCGGTTTCCTGTTCTCGCTCGTGTAGCGACACGTCTTTCTCCAGCACGATGCTCTTCTCGCTGTTGCTGGCGGTCACCTGAACGTGCAGCGAGTCTGCGCTGCGATTGGTCAGTTTTCCGGCTACAACGAGCTCAGAGCCGTTGAAGTAGTTTGTGAAAAGGTTCTGGGTGATGTATTCCACAGCATCCTCGGAGTATTCCACCCGGATGTCGGATAACAGCGGAGTGCCAATCTCATCGTAGAAGCTATAGAGAGTTAGTAGATGACAGAAAGGAGAGGGGGAAAGGAATAATAGTGTAAACATGCCATAGTGTTGCTTCAGCTTGTGGGTTAATAAGTCATGTATTCCTTACGTTAAACTTGTTAAGCTTTTAGAGTGGGGCCCATTGTGTAAAGATTTCTGACTCCTAATGGCATCTCATGTAACTTTTGACCTTTAACCTGGACTTTTTGTCACAAAACACCACTCGACATACTGCAAGCAGGGCTTAAAACTAACTTTTAGTTACACTTGTCAATGGCCAGAGACTTAAAAAAAATTTACCAAGAGCCAGTCCCTTAGGCAGTCTATGTGGTAGTGATTCGGCTCTCAAATTTAATCAAAAATATCTTCATTTGTGTTCCGAAGACGAACGAAGGTCTTACGGGGTTGGTACAGCATGGGGGTGAGTAATTAATGACTTAATTTTCATTTTTTGGGTGAACTAACCCTTTAATTTGGACTTTGACGTGGACCCCCTATACTACCTGCATTATATGACTGACAGACAACACCGGTTTGACCAAAAAATATCAAAATTGAAAATACTGCGGAAACAAAGACACTTACATCTTGGAGGCCCTTGAGGTGAGCTAAAACATATCAAAAAATAATTTCAAAGTGAACTATCCCTATGAAATAGATTGTTAATCGTTTAATCATGTTCATTCATAATCCATTAAACCAACTGAAATGTATTAATGTAGTAATTAACATGAACCAAGATATTTATAATTGCTGTAAAAGTTGTGTTTATTGTTTGTTCATATTAGCTACTGCAAAATAAGGGATGATATGAAGTCATCTGGTCATAATCACAAAATAAATCTGGATCCTGATTCAGTGGGTTTATTTTACATGAATTTTTTAATTGCTCAAATCTCATTTGTGCTTGGATACTGGATGTATTCAAATAGGGTGCGCCAAGTTTGATGTCATTGGTGGAATCAATTGGTGATCCTGACATGACAATTTTTTTCCCTCAGAAGAAAGTCTCATGGGTTTAGAACAACATGAGGGTGAGTACATGATGACAACATTTGTATTTTTGCCTGAACTTACGCTTAAATTAGATTAGTTCACAAATGTTGTTAATGATGGTGACCACATGTTCCTCACCCTTTGAGCATGACGCTGGCGTCTGCGTCCTCTGGGATTCTCCGCATGGTTCCACAGTTCTCCAGGGACATCCTCTCCAGGAGCCTGTAGTCCACATCATCCCCCATCCCAATAGTGAAGAGGCAGAACTTCTCCTGCACTGCTGCTTTGGTGTTGCCAATGATGGTTGGACTCTGAACTATGCCCACTGTGGGTCGCCCATCGGTCAGGAAGATGATGAGCGACACGCTGTTGTGATGCGACTCTTCTTTGCTGGACAAGTAGTCACTGAGCAATGCCGAGCCTGTCTGAATTCCACCGTTGATGTCGGTCCCTGAGGAGGTTTAAACAAAAGAGAAAGTGAGATCAATGTTGTTTAAGTCTGTAACAGGGAGTGTTTAGGAGTGTGTAAGATTCTCTACCTCCAGTGGGTGAGATCATGTAGATGAACTTCTTGGCATCACGTATATTGTTGGGTGTGACGGGCACCAGTTTGCCCGGCTGCCACACACGGATGCGATTGGAAAAAGTGACAAAATTGAAGTGATCGTTGGGCCGCAACTCGCGTAGGATCGTAAACAGAGCTTCTTTGGTCTGCGTGAGAGATATTAAAAAGAGAACTGTTGAACTCTGTCATTTTGCTATGAGATGGGTGTGTGTATCTGTGTGTCCAACTATGAGATCACAAGAACCAGCTGGGGGAAAGAAAAAAAAAAGTGGCACAATATCATTCCCTCTTTGAGGGAACGGCCCACTGCAATTCTGAAAACTGAAATGCTGAATATAAATGTGTGGAAAACTGATTGCTTCAATATGTGTCGACGACAGAGTATGTTACCTGTCTGATTTTGGTTCCAACCATGGAGGCGCTGGTATCAATCACAAATACAACATTCTTTGGCACGACAGGCAGGTCTCTGGGAGCAAAATAGTGCACAAAATGTCCATCTAGTACCTGAAAGAGAGCAGGCTTTCAATATTTGTAATGTGTGTGGACAAGCAAGCAATGAGCTCAGTGAACAAGAGGAGTTTAAAGTTTTTAGTGACTTCTGACATCGTTCACACACCCGCATAAATACATCAAGCGCCATCATAACTATGCCAAACCTATTGGTGGCAGTGTAGGGGTTAAAGGATAAAGCCATGCAAGCCAATCAGAATCCTCAGAATCGACAAGAGCGAACCTAAAACGCCGTTTCTCCCAGTTCACATGACAACACATAACCGGCGTTTTCAGAAATCTCCAAATTGGCCGGAGTTTTTAGAAATAATCGTTTTCTGTGATAAAAACGGGGTTTTCGTGTAAACGAGAGCCCAATCCACAGGGAAATATCTGCGTTTTCCCTTCGTGTAAATCACAGATTATTATTTTTGGAAGTATGACCAACATAATAATTTTCACTGGAAAATGACATCTGAACAAGTGAGTAATATCCACTTTTGTTCTGGTTCTGACATTGCATTACGTTGAATCGCATATCATATCACGCAAAACCGTGCAAATTATACTTTGCTCTTCAATTGTTAATGTTGTTAAAGTATTGCGTGACTACTTGCTTAATGTCCTTCCGATGTGTATTCTTGTAAAAAGCAACTTTTGAAAACTGGTTTTAAATTCTCTGTGTAACTTACAAAAACTCAAATTTCTGAAAATGGTGACGCGTTTAGTCTATAGGTGCATAATTTTTCTTTACAAAGTGACATCGCCAACTACTGGCCTGGCATGAGTAATGCAGCGTTTTAAACGTTTTCACGGATCCGTGTGAACGGGGCTCATTTTTACACCATTGTCGTATATATGCGAAATGCAAAGGAACAACTTTCCAGTTTTTAGTACATCGTTGTCATGTAACGCCAATTGCGTGATGCAATCCCGCATCATCAACATGGACCAAAATCTCAGAGGAATGTTTCCAGCACCTTGTTGAATCTATGCCATGAAGAATTAAGGCAGGTCTGAAGCCAAAAAGGGGTACAACTAAAGCAGTCGGTGAGTGTGTATTTTTTGTAATGTTTATTATTATAGTATACATATATTAATTTAATATATGTTAATATGATATGATATTATTTTAATCCACCAGAATGTACACCATAATAAGTTGTTTTATGCACTGCAGCTTATCTATAGGTAAAATAGCAAGAAAAAATATACTATTTCTAATTTTAGTAATGCTTTTCTTTGGAACTGCGTGTAAATATCTGTTAATAATATAGAAATATTGTGTGAATGTGTACCTGTATATCGCCAATGCCATTTTCTCTCTCTACATCAAAGCGCACCACAAATTCTCCCAGCATGCCATTGGTGGCAATTTTGGCTTGCTGGGCGATGTTGGGAGTGAAGCTGATCTTGCAAATGGATTCATTTTGCTTGACTACTGTGGAAACTGGTGGTCCTACTTTGCCTGGGGCAGAGCAAGATGTAAACAATGGTAAATCATGCACTATTTTACATTAACAACCTGTCAAAAAACTTTATTACAGATTTAACGCTGAAAAGTGGGAAAACTTGAATTTTCTTGCAGCTCTTGAGGCAAAATTTTGCAATGTTGTCAAATATTTTAATCCATACCAGTGACAGCACATCTAAATACAAACTCAAGTATCAAATTGGATGCAGCTGTTTACCATTTGGTTTCCCAATGCCATTGGAAGAAGGAGTTTTGCCATTTCGTAGAGGTAATACTTCCAGATAAGTGATACGGGAATGCTCTACAATAGTAACGCCCACGCTGAGTCTGCTGACCAATTGCATTGGCCTAACACTGGTCACATGCTCGTAGCGGCCCAATCGTCTCTGCAGCAGCTCTTCGTAGATCAGGAAGAACACCGCACGGTTGCGTCCAGGAATGGTGACCTCCATTCGAAACAACTCCATCTCACCCTCACTAACAGGGAGAGAGGGAATCATTACTCTGGAAATGTGAACTTCGTGCCAAAGGAATCTGTCACAAGGCTTGCCAAACCACATTACGATTTTTTGGGGGGAATATATCCCTGATTTCGTAGTCATATTTCTCATTCACTCACAAGCAAGTGAAATACACATTGCATTGCTAAAGTACACTTTGCTTTCTCAGGCTTAGCCACAAGGGGTGCTATAGCAAGTAAGCATACTACATCTTGCCACATTACTCTTTTTAATACAACTGTTGTCATGGAGCGACAGTTTAAAGATAATCTGCATTTTGTTTATTGTAGAACAATTGCCACCATTGGTCTCTACAATCAACTTAGGCTTGCAATGCTTTTGGGAAATGCAGCCCAGGTAAGTTAAACACCAGGCATGTTTTTAACTAGATGAATCACAGCACATCACAAGCACACTATCTTCACCTCTGCTCTGGTGTGTCCTTGTTTTTCTTGCCATTGTTTTCTCCTCCTTCCTTCTTCATCTTCTTCTCCTTTCCCTTCACCTGGCTGGGAAAGACTCGTCCTCCCACAATCCTTTTGCCACCATACCAACAGCATGAAATGAGAATTTTTATTAGTGCCATGGAACAAATTGCGGCAATAGGCATATAAATCTTTCTTGTGGTTAATCATAGTACTCGCTCAGGCCCTTCAATAACCTCTGTGGACTTTCTTTGGAGACTGGGGTCAATGACCACCAATTAACAGCTCAGTTCCAATAGCAAAAAATTAGCGTATTATCCATAAAGTGAATAGACCTTCTAGATAACCAGTCATTCTCATGGTCATAATTAATTTTTTTTTTAAATAATGTCAGATAAAGCCAGAATGGGGACACACAGACTCTAAAAATGCTGGGTTGTTTAAACCAAAAGTTAGGTCAAATATGGACAAACCCAACTATTGGGTTAAACAATTTAATATAAGACTTAACAACGTTTGGGTTTGTCCATATTTGACCCAACTTTGGGTTTAAACAACCCAGCATTTTTTAGTGTAGTGGTGCCATTTTCTTTGAGTGACCCACTAGAGACATTTCAATTATGGTTCTGGTATTTTCCAATGATGTATGTATTTCCACACTTACATGGTAAAGTTGGAGATGTATGCAGCAGTGGGGATGTGGAACTGAAAGACACCCTGAGTGGCAGCTGAGTGTCTGTTAAGCATGCTACAGGACACCGCAGTGAAGGCATAGCGGGAAATGATGGTGGTCTGGACCGACAGCTCCTGAATGTGAGGTTTAGTTTCCTGGCAAAGGAGAGCAAGTTAAGAGCATCATTAAAATATAGCCTGGGTGATTATTTAGAATAGTTGCTCTGAAAACATGTGGCCAAGAGATTTGACTAAAGATCTGGGCTGATTTCTAAATAATAGTTGGGTTATGTCCTTAAAAAACATGCATCATATAGTTTCTGCCAAAATACCAATTATTGTTGATAAAACGGAAGTAAACTGTGGTTAAAAAAATAGTGAAGCATAATCACACTAGTAAGTTACCGCAATATAACCTTTCATTGAACAGTTTAGGTTTTTCAGCCAAATCGTTCAAAGAATTGACAAAACAGCAAAATGTAAAAGGTAACATACATAAACAAATCATTGTTTGGGCCAACACATATAGTTTATTTCATTTGTATACATTTATAACATTTAAAAACTCATGTCCCCCAATAAAAAATGTAACAATTTGCCCTTATTTGTTTTTTTTTTTTTTATTATTATCATGAATGTTAAAAGACAACTGGCATCATCCTAATCACACTTTTGTTTAATTTGATAGGCCTATATGGTATGTAAACTTTTTATCCTACCTACATATTAAAATGGTAATATCACACTCTAAAAATGCTGGGTTGTTTCAACCCATGGGTCAAATATGGACAAACCTAACCGTTAGGTTTAAAATGTTTATTTAAAATTTTAAAACAAAAGTTGACTCAAACATGGGTTGTTGTAAAAACTCAACATTTTTTTCTAGAGTGCGCGTACGTAGGATTGTAACACTTTCAATGTGCATAATGGAAATTGAATAGAATGGGTCAATAGGGCAAGCCCACACAATTGTGAGAGTGATTAGTATTTTCTGTTTTGAATAAATGAAACTGTCCTTGGTTCCCAATTGTGTTAATTACAGCTTCACCACCTGTTACTCTTCATTCCGGTTGTAGTTTGTAACTGCACTCTTTGAAGACGAGACGTAGACGACGATACAGATAAGTTGTTGATTTCTAACCTGCTCCCCTTTATAGCAGACAAATATGGGAATGAAATATAAACTACAAAGTGTGAAACAGATGGGTGGGGAAAAAAACTACACAGTTATAGACGTTGAAAAAAGTGTTACACGGTCAGCCGCTGAAGATAAAGCATTGAGAGTTTCTATGTTGCCTTAATATATTAAAGGCAGACGTTAATTCAATATTTCCTAATTCAAAATGACTGTTTAACAGTCTCACAAAGCTTTAAAAACAGGTGTCGCGCGCATTTACCTTAGATAGTAGCATTTTCACCTGCCGCGGGATTCTGAGAGGAGCCTGAAGACAAACATGAGAATGGTCAGATCCTAGATATAATTGGCGATGTTTTCATGTATGAAATTCAAGAAAAAAAACCATACTGCAGCATTTGAATCCATGTCAGAAGTCATGTATTCTTCTTCAAAGTCAACATCCTCTGAAAATTCAGTATCCTCAGTTTGGCACTGAAAAACCGGACACAAATACAAGACGAGGACTGTGAGCAGCATCTTATTCTCCTGCACTGCCACTGGCTGCTCTCTCGAGTGGGTCGAGTGTGCTCCTCAGTGGTCCTGGAGTGTAATCGGGGCGGTTATTGCGACCCACCCATCCGAAGACTGTGTAGTGAAGTGTTTGGGAGGGAGCTCCAGTGTTTTTGGTATCTAGACCCTTGCGACATTCTCACTCATTTGTCTGGCAAACATGAGATTGGCCTCTATATTATAGTTTTAAGGCTGTTATGGGCACATTGGGGAATATAGCCTAAAAGAGCTGGCAAGGGTATCAATAATTTTAATGCACTTTTTTGCAGTTCCACATATGTCTTTATTTGATATATCCATAATACTTTCATAGGCTAAAAAGGTACAAAAAAAACAATAATATAAAACAAAACAATATTTATTCATTTTTTATAATTTTTTTCTTTCCTATTTTTAATGCATTTTGGAGATATTTTGTTGTTTTAATCTAATTTAAGTATAAATTGAATTATATAACACAATCTTCACATTCTTTCTCTTAAATACAAAATAACTCTATTACATGAAAAAACTGTTGGGTGTCTCTCTCGACCTCGTGTGGAAATATATATGTATAACATGATGTTTCATGACTCTTGCCACTAGATGGCTTTATTGCTCTATGGAGCAAATTTTGTTCTGCATTGTAAATGTGTTCAAATCTAACCACTTCATATCGAAGGACGTGTTACTGTTTTTTTTTGTGTGTGTTAACCACATAAACTTCCCAAACCCAGTATTATTATTTTTTTTAATTTAAAGTGTGTATTCAAAGTTCAAGGGTGAAAAAGCCCTTTGGTGTTGAACCATTCCATTGAACACTCAATTTTTAAAAACAATTTAAAAATAAAAAATTCGGGTCAAAATGACCCGAAGAGAGCATAAGGGACTCACTATTACTTTTGCAAAAAAAAAAAAAAAATTAATAAATAAATAAAAATATTAAGAATCAGGATTTAGGTTGATACCTCAAAAATATTATATAAGCTTGCATATTTCAACGAATGAATGTATAATTAATCATGTTTTACTCATTGGTGCTATTTCGTAAATTCACATGATCAAAATAAATAATTCGGTTCGATAACAGTTCGAAAAGATTTGATCATAATAATACACTCGCTTTAACGTTGGCAGTCCTAAGCTTTATTGCATAATATCAAAAATTGTATTATGAATCATCAATAAAAAATGTAGTGTATTCAGAAACAAATGCAAAGTATTTTAATTAAAACGTTATATCACTTCAATATTGTTTTTAAGAAGCTTCTCTCATCTGTTTCCTGCATATATTGGTCAACACAGTATTCTTACATCTCCGGCTTCCAGTAGATGGTTAACAGTCCGGGATTATGAATAATTTTGTTTTATGCAAAAACATCATTATATTAATATGGGAAACGTGTCAAAAAAAGTTTCATTTTGAACATATTGGTTGATCAGTTTAAATTCTTTCTTTTACAATAAATACCACTTTATTTAGTATGTTGGATGATGCAAAATTCAGACATTTTTAACAGTTGTCAAATATACTTATTGAGGTCACAGATATGAATGCAAATATGGGTGTAGGAATGTGGGAACACACAAAAGTGATGTTTAAGAAATATAAGAACGAAAGGGAATAACCCTTTGCCTAGACTAGAGCAACCAGAGTTGTTGGGGCAAGAGATTGGGCAATAATCGGGGTAATATTAACTAATTAGCTCTTGAATTGACCTGTATGCCTTTATTGATTTTTTATCTGACGGAGTTATGAGGGTCACTCTCACAAAATCATACATCCTGGTCATCTTTCATCATAAATTCAAAGAAAAAGACTATTTTAAAGAGTATCAATTGATCGATTGACCAATTTAATCATTCACTTGATTTGATAATGCACATATTCATTCATAATAGTCATTGACACTATATTATTATTCACATACAAAGAAAATATTAAAAACAAAAGTGTATTTATTTATTTAGTATATATGCTGTTAGTGCTGTCAAATCATTTAATCGTGAGTAATCAAATCGATTAATCGTGATTAATCGCACTTAACATAGTTTTTTTTTGTGTGTGTATATGTGTATATATATATATATATATACACACACACACATATAAGTGCTGTCAAATCGATTAATCAAATCAATTAATCAAATCGATTAATCCTAATTAATTGCACCTAACAAAGTTTTTTTGTGTATATATATATATATATATACATACATGTAAACTATGTAGGTGTGATTAATCGTGATTAATCAATTTGATTAATCGATTTGATTAATCGATTTGACAGCACTTATGTCACACACAAACTATGTTAAGTGCGATTAATCACGATTAATTGATTTGATTAATCATGATTAATCGATTTGACAGCACTTATCTACAGCATATATATTTAAATAAATATATTATATTATTTTATAATATATTATACAAACGTACATACAGTGACCTCAATAAGTATATTTGGACACTTATAAGCCACAGTTAAAAATGTTTGAATGTAGCATCAAACAAAATACTAAATATTTACAAATGTTTATGTTAAATGCAATTAATCGATTTGACAGCACACACACACATATATATACAAATCTATTAAGATAAAAACATTCATATATATATATATATATATATATATATATAATTAAGAAACTAAAAAATTGTTAATGTCCAAAATAACAATATTTCTCTCACAACATATGATCAGAAGGGTGTGAAATGTGTCATTCCATTCCAGGGATTGTGTTTGTGCATCTGCTGGTCAGGTTTCAAAGGTTCCTGCCTTCGGGTTTTTGGGATATTTGGGACACAACAAATATTGACGAGGCTCAGAGGTCTCAGACACTTCAGAGGCTGATCATTGAGCCTCAGTCAGTGTGTGTGTGTCTGTGTGTGGCTTGTGCTGGACATTTTGTTGTGTTAAAAGGACTTTTCTCTGGATCCATGAAGACTCCGGTTCTTCTGTGCGTCCTGCTCTTTTCTCAGAGCTGGGCTTTCGAGTTTATCATCGATGGGGAGTGGGAAAGTGAAACGGTAAGACGGAAAGACATTGATTTGAATGCGTGTTTATGACAGTAGATTGAATGCTGTATTGTGTTTTATCTTGTTAGTCAGGTCCTCGGGATCAGTCTGGGAGATACAGGGTAAGTTTTCATATTCAGACTCAATATGAAATTGAAAATGGTCAAATGAGGATTCTGAACAAAAATGCACTCTAATATACTGCAGAATCTCTTTATTATGATAATTTATGCGCTTGTTTTCAATATGTTCAAGCAATGTTTGATATGTTTTAATGTGATGACGGTGTCATTGAGGCCTTCATTGATTACCATTGATCAAAGAGTAAGGTGTTAAGTCCACCCGTCCATGCGCTTTTTTCAGTTGTCACGCAACTGTTTTTTTTATAATATATTCATATATATATATAAAACAAATTAAGTTGCTTTTATTTGGAAAAGGTTAAAAAAAATAATCAAAATGAATTAACTTATATACATATTTATATTTACACATGCCTTAAATGTCAGTAACACAGTTGCAAATATTAAATATAATATATATATATATATATATAAACATTTATACTCCCATTTTTCTCTTTGTGTGTGTGTGTGTGTGTAGAGAAACGCTTTGACCAGTGAAGAAGAGGATTTTGAGGTAATCATGCTCTTGTTGTTCCACTTTAATCTAATCTACTAATCGATTTGTTCAAAGACACTACGGTTATTGACTTCCCCTCTGCTGCTGTTCTACTTCTAAAGACTTTTTTTCCAGATTAGTTTGTGTTTCTAAATTTCTACATATATAATTTCTTTGGTTTTCATCAGTTCAGGTTACTCTAAAAAAGTAGCTACTAATTACACTAGCCTACGAGTACTAGGCTAAATAAACTCTCTAAAAAGTATTTAATTACTTCCTGAATCACGTATCAAATAAACAATATAAAATGGCATAAATTATTCTTGAACTGACCAAAGTATTTAAAGAGAGAAGGTTACATTAAAACTAATAAAAATATGAAATTTTGATGTTAAATCCACTAATGTTTTATTTAGGATTGTTCTTAAATAACAGAAAAATTAACAGTAATCCCTTTATCCATCCATCGTTCTGTTGTCTGCTGCTTTTAATGCTCAATCTTTTAAATTATGGATGGATCAGGATGGATCCTGATTGGCTGTCAATGTTTTTATCATTCTTTAGCTGGAAATATTCATTTTGAAAGTGACAAAAATATTATTTCTCTGTGACGGTGTTGTTAAAGGGGGTTGGACTAGAAACATATCTTCATCGCGCTATTATATTTACCATCCTTGATGTGAACGGGCCTTTAAAATGACTGTAAAAAAAATCTTTTCATTATTGTAATTACATTTTTTCTTTTGTCAAATCAACTTAAATAATTTATTTAGTTCAGATTACATATTTTGAGTTTCTGATGATTAAATCAATCTCCTTCATTGTATTAACTCACTTTTTCCATTTCAATCAACTGAAATTTTTAAGGCAACCAGATTACTTCATTTTTAAGTTAAACCAACAATATTTTTTTACAGTGTGCAAAAAGTTTACATGTTGCAAGTTTTGATAGTCGGTAGGCAATTCACTACTTTTACACAAGCCTGTAAAAAAAAAAAAAATCTTTTCATGATTTGTAATCACAACATTTTTTCTTTTGTCAAATCAACTTAATTTATTTAGTTCAGATAACATATTATTTTGAGTTTCTGATGATTAAATCATTATCCTTCATTGCATTAACTCACTTTTTCCATTTCAATGAACTTAAATTTTTAAGGCAACTTTAAGTTAAACCAACAATATTTTTTACAGTGTAATGTCACAAAAATAGCATCTCAAAACAGAAAAGGAAATGACAAACAAAAGATTTTTGTTACAAAAACATTATATGATCAATAAGTGATGATAGCAAATGCTTTTATATTGCTTTAACTCATCAAAAAAAAGTTATGCAATTTTCTACTATTTTTATGAGTCATACAAGATTCAGCTCATTTAAAAAATGTCAGT